CCAATCTCCATATATAATCACATGGTAATGGAGTACAGAATAGCAGTTCTTCCTCATGTGAAAAACATCTCGTGCATAGAAAAGGAGTCTGCCAAAAGGAAGAATCCCAGGTACATTATCTAGAGCCTTAAGATCGTCTGGGGAGGCCCTGCTCTCGTTGCAACCTTTGTCACAAGTACGTTTGGCAGGGATAGGGCCTTCTTGGTGGTGGCCCCTCGGCTATGGAATGCCCTACCTAGGGATATTAGATCGGCCTCCTCCCTTTTAACATTTTGGAAAAAAGTCAAGATGTGGCTTTTTGAGCAAGCGTTTGCAAATGCAGAGTAACTGACATAGGAAAATGGAACGACTAGACGATGGGACCGGACAATGTTTTTAACAAGGAGATACTAATGATTTATGTTTTATTGATTTTGTTGTTTTTTTTAAATTATATGTTAATGTTTTTAATTGTATTAATGGTATTCTAGGCATTGAATTTTGCCCTGTAAACCGCCTTGAGTCGCCTGCGGGCTGAGAAAGGTGGAATACAAATACAGTAAAATAAATAAATAAATAAATAACATGTTGATTTTTGACAAACAGTTTGAAAAAACTCTGCATGTATAGGTTTTACTGTAAGCTGCTTTAAGTCTCTTTTGTAGAGAGAAAAAGTAGGGTATACATAAATATAATAATACTCACAACTTAATAATAATAACTATAATAATTGCCTGTATGGATACCAATGCTAATGAGTCTATTGTAATGTCTGTGCTAAATATTCATTCTCATATACCAAAAATGATTGCAGTATTATCTTGATTTCGATGAACCTAAGGGTCAAGCTAGTCTTTTAAGTCAGAACACTCTTTCTCAAGCCAATATAAAGTCTTGTTGCAGAAGTACCAAGTTACGAGTTTAGAAGTAAAAAAAAAAACCCATGTTACTGGGTAACCATCTGTCAGGGGTGCTTTGATTGTGTTTTTCTGCATGGTAAGGGGTTGGACTGAATGATCTTTTGGCGCTCTTCCAAACATCTGATAATATAACAACTAGTTATTTTACTGCGTATTCTTACTGTTCAACTTTGCTTAGTAGTGTTGCAGATCTAAAAAGGTGATAGTTCTTAGCTGCAAACCTGGGGCTCCCATGGCATCCTTCACTCAGCTACTACTTATCTGTAGAATATGCTTGATGTTGTGAAGCTTCATTGTGCCACAGGTGGCAGAACTGCGAACTCCAGAAGCAGACAGAAACAACCAGCCACCTCCACCAGCAACCACCAAAGTGTTGGCCATCACATGTGCTCATGGTCGTCCTCTATTCTGGAACCCCCACTGGAATTCACTTTGGTGACCTATCACTGAAAGGACATATAGTTCTAGCAGTAATTTAAAAACAATTTTCTGTATTGTGCTGCCCTCCAGATGTTGCTTGACCACTTGCCATTATAGGAGCTAAGGTTCATTTTTTTCCTGGAGGACTGCACAGTTCCTACTTGGTTCTAGATTTGTTTGAACCTGAACCTGAAGACTAGGTTTGAAACAAATACTGCCTTGGCTGGACTATGGAAGGAAGGAGTGTAACCTTACTTATTCTCTTGGGTTTCTCGGTGGCTTTTGATACTATGGGTGACCTCCATCCCTCCCTAAAAGGCATCAGAAGTGAATGACTTAGGACCTCATCACAAAGGTTCATGGATTTGCCACACATCATGGAGAATCTATGGGGTCCCGGCAAGGGACGTGGAGAACCGGTAACTCCATGCCCCATCACCTGCCTTACTTTGACCCCTATTACATAAAGGTAAGCGTTGCTGCCCAGCTTGCCCCCATTGCTCCTAAGGCAACATGGGAAGCCTCCCGTGTTGCTATGACAGTGGCATTTGCCACTTGCTCTTCTTTTGATATGGAGCCCATCCAGAAGTTTCTGTGCATGGCACTATGTAGCTCCATATCGAAAGTGGAGAGCAAGCAGTGTACGCCAGACAAATCAGCCTGTTTGATGAGATTGTAAGTGATGGATTTTATAATGGCAGATCCCTGCTTCTAAAAGATGCACCCCAGAAAGATCTGTCTGGCACGTATCTCTGTTATAGCTTTCTTGGTACCAGTTGAAGACCATTATTTATTTGGTATTCATTTGGTTTGATTATGTGCTGAAGAATATTAACTCTATATTGTTGATTCTGTTTTATGATTAATTTATTGTGAGAATTATTGTGAGTAATTCTTCCAAGATAACTTCAGCTATTTAGCATGCTAAAGTAATCAGTCAATAAAACAAAATAGGCAACTGTCAAAGATCTGCACTACCCTATTTTTAGGCTTCTGTCTTAACTTAGGTCTTTAGCATGTTCATTATTCCTTCTTTGCTAGCTTTCACTTGAGAAAACACAATGTGAGCCTGATAATTTTTTGTTCTTGTCCCAGCTCTGAAACATTGGCAAGCAATGATGTACTTCTTTAAATAGCACATCTACTGCACCCAAAGACTTGTGTGAACAACGAGAGCCTGTTTCCCCAATTTTTACATTTAAATGAATAAATAAGGATCTCTTTGTAGGTGGAGAACAACGCTGCATAGTGATCTTTACAGTGGAAAATACATTCTCATGTTCATCAATCCTATCTAGAGTTATATTTGACACTTTCTGGAAGTTAAGAGGGTGTTGAAAGGAGCAACTAAAATTGAAGGCATGCAAGTACACATATTTGTTGGACATAAACCCCTTTAAACTCAGCGGGACTTGCTTCTGAATAGACATTTACAGAATTGTTTAACGCATGATAATATAGATATGTAAATGATTTAGATTTTTTTTTAATTTTAAAAACTTCAGTGTAAGTTGGTAGAAGGTCACGCAACATCATGTATCTTTTATGTAAGGCTTCTGGTGACAATCTGTCAGAGCTAGAAACAATATGAAACATGTCTTCCAAATAAAGCCTAATGTTAACCATCTACAATTTTACATGATTAGAGGAACCTAATCATAAAGCCCATCTGAACAGATAACAGGATAACTGCATGACTGAATTACTCCATTCCACATCCAAGTGAGGATACAGCCTTTTCATTGTACTGCTTTGAATGGAATATGATTCCGATGAACCATTTATATTCCTTATAGGAGAGATAGAAGTAGAACAGCTGACTATGTCTGTGTTGGCTTTCAAAGTTCATTGAATATCTCATTATTATTTGCATCTCAGAAAGGTTCCTTCCTTCTGCACAAAACCCCTCAGTAGTAATAGCTATCTTTGTCCTAACTGAAATGAAAGGCTACATTGATTAAAATCGGGGAATGGAAACTATGAGGCAAAAAAAAATCCCATCCATGAAATTGGACGAATGGATGAGATCTGACTTCACAAATCCCATACAAATACAGCTTGTGTGTGTGTGTGTGTGTGTGTGTAACTTCTTACTAACTACAGAAGTGAACTAGGACAATTAATTTCCTAGTGGGAAATAGGTGGGCTTTCTAAGGTCTGGAAGAATGCGCCCCCCCCCCCCACCACTCTCGAGTTGTTCCTTTGGTAAGGTGACTCCCAAAAATTGTGATGCTAACCAGTGAAATGGCATCTGCCCAGTTCTGTGGCAATTGATGGCTATCTGCAATTGAGTTTTCCCCAATACTCAGTTTGACGAGCTCTTGAGAAAAATAATAGTAGCTACTCTGAGTCTATGTTATTATGTGGTGTGCCTTGAGTTCATGGAGTGGCAGAAGGAGACCATCCTTCCCTGTGATGGTGACCACAAATGGGATGGGAAGTTCTCCTTTCCTTCCCTCACTTGCCAGCATTGCATCAACTCTCCTAGGTGAGGCTGGAAGATAATGGTTTTCAGATATTAGTGATTGGGCCAGAAAAGGAGTTATCTTTCAATTTAGATTTAAATCTGAGACACAAAAGGATGGACGGTTCATGATGCTTGCATCATAGTTTACGATTATCTTCACAAGATACTAAGATTCATGTGCCTAAGTCCAGAAGTACAAATCTCAGTGGTATAGCAATGATTATTGACCCTAATTGTTAGGAATGAATGCAAGGACTTTGTTGTTTTTCATAAATTAGTTACGGTATTTTAAACGAAATAAGGTTTGCACTCAGTTTTTCTTTGCTTGTTTAAGAGTACTGGCTTGTTTTGCTCAGTATATATGAGGAGGAGCAGGCGTAACTGGAACTTTTGCCCATTTCCTTCATTTCAGCTTCATGCTACTGAAAATATCAAACACTATACAATAAGTGGAGCAGGTGGTTTACATTTTGCTGCTATATGCAACACAGAAAATAAAGACACATGGTCATGTGGATAGACCTCTTATGAGATGGAAAATGTATATGCTTGATCTTAGAGTTATTTCCTGATCTTATCTAACAGGCATCACATTTCTCGATTTCTCTGTGATGTTGGGATATTTATTTTAAGCAAGTTTTACTTTATGAGAAGGCAAAAGTGCCAAATCTGACCCAGAGCAATTACCTCAATTCTAGCTGTATTCTAGAGAACAGGAGACATTTTTACCCTGAGTCAAATGCTCAGTGGCAAGTGCTAAAACCTGTGGGAGGAGGCTCTATCGATCTGTGAACATCTGGAGAAGCCTAAAAGAGATTAGAGGCAGGGAATCACTACAATGAAACATAATCCCAATTGCATTCTTCCAAAGCTGAACTTTTTCCCTGGTGAAGCCAGACATCTCTGTGTTGATGCCTACAGAGTGTTCTAATTGTTTTGACATTTAGTAGAAGCCTTGTTGTCACAGCTATGACACTGTCGACCACTTCTGTCATATCAGATAAGTACACCTCTCATCACTGGAAGATAGCAGTGGGAAATGAGATGAAGAATTGTGCAAGACAAATATTGTGATGATGGTGGACATATTTTTTCTTTCTTTTTTCTGGCAAGTGTTATGTGTTCAAAGTATAAAAGTAGAAGCACATAGGGTGAACTATAAGCACCAGAATGGATCTGTGTTCTTGGAGGAAAGCATGAGCGCAAGTGTAAAATAGTTGACAGACTTTTTAATAAAGATATATTTAGTTTAAACTTCCAGTTCAGGTTTTTATTTGTATACAAAAATATATTGTAATCAACAGCATTAAAGTTAATTATATAAAATTACAAAATCTTTTCATAAAAGCACTTTTAAATTAATATTAAGCTATTATTTTATGAAAAAGTACAGGATGGGGACATCTGTTATTTGCATCTGGGGAAAAGACAACAGTTGTGACTGGTGAAACGTGTAAGTAGAGATGCCTGGTAGCATGCTTGGGAGATGAGAATATTGGCCTCTGTCACGTCAAATAATGATTGATGGAGAGGTATCAGGCAAGGTTCAACTTTATCCTTCCAGGGCATGTATTGTGTCAAGCCAGCATGTCTCACATACCTGTATGAACATTCAGATAGGACAAATATTAATGTGGTGCGGTCATACACTCCAGTGCCACTTTTCAGGCAAGCTGCCTTAAACGCCACAATTTTTAACCAGAACAGGGAAGAATGCCAAGGTACTTACAGAAGTGAAACACATTAATCATATCCAAGCCTTTGTATTATTGACTCAAAGCCACTGTGAAAAGTTATACTAGTAAGGACTAGTTCATAAAGCTTTCTGGTTCACATTTCTCCCTCTCACCCAGCCACCAACCCAGCATTGTCAGCAATGAATATGTATATCCTGCTTCTTTGTCTGCAATGGAAAGGATCCAACAAGATATAACTACAGTTAGATCTTCATAGACACACATAATAAATTAGTCCAGAACATTAGTTCCACTTACTTGCCAAGGTCTTATCAAGATCAGCTATAAAGTCTTCTAGTTCTTTCGTGTCTCCAAGCTTTGCTGGAAAAAAAAAAAAAACAAGAGCAAGAATGGCTTCACTTGCCCATCTAACAAAAATGAAGGACCCCTAAAGATGCAGGTTCTTACAACCACAAGAACGTATTTAAAAAACAACCATTTATTCCACTTCTCTTTCTTAAAGCTCATTTACTTAGGGAAACAGTCCTTTCATTTATAACTCAAAGCCAATGAAGCCACATCTTTTCTAGTTACCTCAGAAAAACTAATGTATTTCTGAACTGACTTTGACTTTCAAGGAGGAGGAAAAAATGATGACTTGATCCAAATGGAAAGAACAGGTTTTGGGAAAATGCAGAATTCCTAAGCTGCTTCTTTCCCCCTTAAAATAAGAGATTGTGTAGCATATTATAAAAAATCTATACACAATGAGTAATTTATCAATTTTATAGAAATAACACAAAGCTGTCACGAAATGGATAATGATGATAGATGCAGATGTACCTTGAAATGTAGGTCCAGTATTTGTACAGAACCAATAAGAGCTATAAACTATGCATAATATAGTACTTGGGCCATGCACAGAGTTAAAGGTAAAGTAAATGTAAAGGTTTTCCCCTGACATTAAATCCAGTCGTGTCAGACTATGGGGGTTGGTGCTCATCTCCATTTCTAAGCCAAAGAGCCGGCATTGTCCGTAGACACCTACAAGGTCATGTGGCCAGCATGACTGCATGGAGCACCGTTACCTCCCGGCAGAGTACTACCTATTGATCTACTCACATTTGCATGTTTTCGAACTGCTAGGTTGGCAGAAGCTGGGGTTAATAGTGGGTGCTCACCCTGTTCCCTGGATTTGAACCTGTGACCTTTCGGTTAGCAAGTTCAGCAGCTCAGCACTTTTATTCACTACACCAGCGGGGCATAGGACAAAGTATGCATGAATGTGACCCTTCTATCTCAAAAATATGTTCTGTTCTCATTTCAGTTGTTCTGCATTTCTATCCATATGTGAATCACAGATGCCTGAGTAAAGCCCTTGCATAAATTCAACTTTCCTGCAAATCCACAGGACAAGAAAGCACCTAGTGTCTGTTGGATCTGGACATAACAGAACATTTTAAATGGCCCATTTTCATATGAATTTCCGTCCCTGAATAATATAGAAAGTGTTTCAATAGGATGGGACGGCCACTTAGGAAAACACTTATGTCACTGAGTTTCAAGAGGGTAACCTTACTAAAATGTCACCTTTTTGAGCAGCTGTTTTTGGAGCAGAGACAGCTGGAGTGGACAACGTTGGAGAGTTTAGTTTTTCATCACTGAAGCTGAAACTGTTTCTGCAGAGTGAATCTGCACCTGCAACAAAGGATATCAAGATTTAGAATCAGAAAGAGAACAAGACTGTTGCTGCAGTAGAACATGCCCCTGCTTGTTCACCTAGAACAAAATACGCCACTTATTCATATCATTCTAGCATTGTTGCAAAGTCTGATAGTTTAAATGGCAATTACTTGGGAACCATTTTTTTTTTTTGCATAAATGGACTAAAACTGCAGAGATTTCAACAAAGTCTTGCTAATGTCATCTAAGATATTCAGTCTGTACTGGGAAGGTATTGTACAGGCATGTTTCAGGGTGCTCTGGTTCTGAGTACACCTACATGGAAAGATCAGTGAACTTTCAGAATCACTGAAAAACAAAATTAACAATGTCTCAGAAAAACAGCATAAGTCCAAGACCTTTCAGAACAATCGCAGTAATTCACTGAAAATAGTAGAATGAAGAGCTGTGCCTCTCATGATTTAATGCTACTTGGCTTTTGTGCTGTGGTGTTACGTTCCTTCCATCTGCCTGGTTCTCTGCCAGCTGCCCTCTGCCTCTTTGGTGCATGTGCAGCAGTAGAGCATATAGGATTTTATTTATTTGGTATATTATTGCAGACTTACTGTATACAGATGAAATAGGAGAGAGGACTTGGGAATAACATTCCATGTGTTTGATACAAAGCAAGCTCCCACCTGGTGAAATGAATGGCTAAGAATAAAAATAAACCCCTCCTCTAGATGCTACAGCATCTGTTTGAATATTAAACATTATTTGACAGTGGAGTACAATATTACAGTGGTGAAGGAAGTTACACATTTACCATCGGGCAAGCTGGCAATCGCCATCTATAAAGGCAATAGAAGAATGGGAACTATCACCTCCTTACCTTGGGGGCAAAGGTATTGTTTCCTTACCCTCAGTGACTTGCATATATATTATAATACTATTACCTGCAACCCATTTTGCTGAGCACTGAAAACATCCAAGCATAACATTCCAGGATTTATTTTGGATGAGAAAACATTAGAGACTGAATATCTTTAGAATATTTGTTGTATTTCCACATATATGAGAACATCTTGAATGAAATCTGTCATTCTTACTATAGCAGATACTCAAAGAAACCCTACATATTACACAGTACTCACAGCTAACAGACAGCTCTAAGAATATGTCCATTCACTTTTTTTAAATTATGATTTTGGATCTATTTCTGGATGTCCTTCATCTGTAGACTTGTCACCACTTTCATGCTTTGATGGACACCACATTCCAAAAAATTGAGAAAAGTTCATAGGTATTGGAAATCTCCGATTCCCAAACACTTATCTTCTCTGGCTATAATGTTTCACAGGTTTGCATAGTCACAATTATATTCTATTACATAGTACTCCTGGGACACTTACTCCCAAAGGCTCTTGAACCTATGTGCCAAGGCTGACACCAGTGTGACAATAGGGGCTCTCAAGTGGTCCCACCATGTCCTTCGCCTGCAGCCGTGCAAATAAAGAGGTTCAAAGTGTTAAACGACAATCATTGTTTAAGGGAATTGCTCATTCAATGGGAAGTCATATTCCTGTGTAGATTTGGTCTCTTGGAGTTGAGGCAAAATGTCTCTAATGAAGGGTTTGGAGTAGAGCAGGATGGATGCTTACCTTGGCAAGCAAAATAATTCATGGTTAGCTCTAGCTATTTCTATTTCAGACTTTAGTCAAACCTCAAGAGCTCTATTTAAATATAGGACAGATTTTTAACTAACATACAAGTCAGTGATGGCAGTGGGGGAGGGAACAATACAGCTACACCAAAGGCTTTCTCTTCACAATAGAAAAGGGAATTAATCACCATCCAACTGTTTTTCATAAAAAATATGATTTACTCTCGAAGAAGCCCTAAATCTCCATGTTACACATCCAGTAAAATCTTTATTTGACTCATTGGAATAATGCTGTAGAAGACAACAGCCAGTGAAAACTGCCCTGTATTTCTGGTACAATTAGTCTTTGAATTAAGAAACCTGGGCAGGTTTTTAAAATGCTCCCCACAGTAACAGGAAGAAGGCAACAAGGTTTGATGGATTCCAGAAGACTAGAGTTCAAGTGTCCATTAAACCATAGAAACTCACTGGGAAAATCATAATCTCTCACAATCTTTAAACAGTATAAGACACAAATGCAAATCTTTTCTGAGCACATCTTGCCAAGAACACCTGAAGATAAGTTTACTTGAGGGTCACTATATAAGTCAGAAACAATCTGAAGGCACACAATAGCAGCATATAAACATCACTGCTTAGTATAGGAGCAACCAGCAGATCATGGCCAATGGCTAATTGCTAATATATTACGTACTGTCAAGTATGCTGGACAATTAATGAGCATGTGGTCCAACAAATGAGCAATAGGATGGGTGTTAGGGCTTTCTCAGGTGACTGGCTTTTAGCAAGTATGCCTCCAGATACGATCCATCACCCCTTGCTATTCTCCGCCTGTAGGGCAGGATGGAAGTTTTTACGCTGCCTCATGAGAAGTCTAGATATGACCACAATCCTGGATTCTTAATCAATGGAATTAAAGTAACTTATCTATCACAGGAAACCTTTTTAGACAACTACTGTGCTGGGTGAATGAGCGATTTTCTATACTGCTGACTTCCCAAATTGTTAATTACATTTATTACCGCCCTAGTGAGCTCAAAACACTGAAAGGCAGAAATGGGGTCATTTCTCACAAAATGACTGAGCTCTTTTTACTTTTTACATTTTTTCTTTTGTTCTAAAAGACCTACAGGTTTAGTTATTAAATCAAAGATTAAAATCTAACTCCCCTCTATACCAAATTCCACCCAATCCTTTCTCTATAGGACTGAAAAGCAACAGAATGAACATTCACAACAGCAGCAATTGGTGAAAATAAAATAATCCTACTACTGTTAATTAAAACTAAGACTTCTTCCACACTGCCCCGATATCCCAGGATATGATCCCAGATTATCTTCTTGTCCCAGGTTATCTGACAGTGGAGACTCACACAATCCATTTTAAAGCAGATAATCTGGGATCAGATCCTGGGATATAGGGCAGTGTGAAAGAGACCCAACAGTCTCTATTAATACACTAGGGTATATAATCAGATTTCTTGGAGAGGTCTAATTCAAGGAGTTTGTGTTAGACATTTTTGTTGGGAGAATATAGAATGTTTTGCTTGTCTGACTTCAAACCATTTCCAACTTATGATGGCCTCAAAGCCAACTTATGATGGGACTGGCTTTTAGAGGGGGGTTGCCTTTGCCTTCCTCTGAGGCTGAGAAAGTGTGACTTGCCCAAGGTCACTTGGTGGGTTTCCATGTCCAAGTGAAAAATCGAACCCTAGTGTCCAAAGTTCTAGTCCAGTGTTGTAAATTTAGCACTGTGAACTATAGCTTTCTATTTTTAGAAGTATAAATCATGCAAGAATGAAGTTAGTCCATTCTGAGTAACTATACTATGAGTACGAAGTATAACCAAAGCCTTTGCTTTGGATATACTTATGTTACTCTGAGCAACAGAAATCCCCATTATTAATCTAAGGACTTTTTGAGGGTAGGAATGCTCCTTCTTATTTTTTTGGCATGTATATTCTGTAACTGGATTTTTAAATTATAGGTTGAACTCCTACATGTGGTTATTAAAGAGGAGGCCTCACCAAAACCAGAAAGATTATTTTTCAGTTCTCAGTTTTTTGTTCCTGTTGATGCTATGTTCCTTTCTATAGTCACTGAAATCCACACCCTAACAAGGTTATGGTGCAATTACAACTACAGGTCCTTAAAAATCATGCCACAACTATAGAAGAAACCACCTAAATCCTGTATGTAGAACTTGGCATCCAATGTATGCTCTACAGAGTGTGCAGTCCTCAGTTTTCCAGGGATGTTAAAATCCTTTTGAATGTCAGACATTAGGCAGTTTTTTTCTGTTTGAGCTGAAAGTCTTTTCAGAATTGAGCGAGTAAGTAGCTCATTACAGCAGCCCTAAAGCGGCGTTCTTTTTACAGCACCAGAATGCTGCCTTTGATCCGATTACAACTGCAGGTCCTTGAAATTCATGCCACAACTAGACTACAGTAACATGGTCAAATAGGAAAGCCTGATATACTTATCCAGAGGAAAGCAGACATGCACACCAGTCTTGCTGGCACAAGCTAAGTACTTCCAAATGGAAAATTTCTTAGGTGTGACCTATGTGGTATTAATAAAACTGGATACACCACTGAGATATTAATTTGTTATCCAAAATCATATATAATTTCTCTTCAAGAGAGTATGCTTATCCACTTGAAATCTGCTGCCTTCTCATTATTTCAGCAATAGAAGCAGCTGCTGTTGGGATGTGATTCCTAGCCAGGAGAAACTCAGAAAAACTAGTATGATGATTTCAGTGTGTAGCATGATTTTATTTTATCAAGGTAAACAAAATGTTTCACCGCATTTAAATAATATAATTGTGTGGGAGTGCATAAGAAAGAAGTAGGAAATAAACCTTTGATTGCATCAGAGAAACTGGTGGGAGGAGTTAGATTATCTAGAACTGGGATGGGACACCACCTGCCAATCTGCCCATCAGGGAAGGGAAAGTCCTTCCCTTCCCTGAAGCTCCTGCTTGCTCCAATAGTAACCATCTGGTTTATTAAAAAAGCTAAACTAAAAAGAAAACAAACAAACTCAAGGCCATGGCTTGCTTTGTCAGCCTAGCTTTGTCAGTGAGGAAAGGGGGCCTTTGAGGTGCCAGCTGAGTCTGCTGTGGTATTCTTTCACTTTCTCTAGCCAAGTAGACTCAGGCTGCAACTGCAAGAACTATTCCTCCAGGTCTTCTGTGAGTCTGCCTCCCTGAGACAGTGGAAGCAAAGCAGCCAACCATTTAATCAGACTCTGAAGGAGCTATCCTTCAGGTATTGGGTGCGTCTCTTTCTCCATAAAAATAATAATTCTACAAGGAGATATATAAGCAAGAGGTAATAATCTTTTGTTCATCACAAATTTAGGCTCACTTTCTCAGTTTCTGCTGGCACACAGGAGAAACTGAGACTAGCAGCAGAGACCAACTCAGAATTAATCATTATTGGGTTTGAGTGATATCTGCTAGGTTTTTAAAAACCGTGTTTTATTTTTTATTTTTTACTAGTTAAGTAAAAAATCTTGCCTAGGGCCAAATCTGATGGCTGGAAGCCAACAGTCACCCAGTGTAGATTAAATATCCACGCGCATACCCTAAACTAGCTTTACAGAATCCCCTTGCAGAATAGCAACACTGTAGAACACATGTTGATGAAAGGGGCTTTTTGTGTATTATGCAAGTGCAACCACAGTGTACAATGTTGCTGCATGCACACTTCATTTTCTGCTGTCTGCAAAATATGTCTGTTGATGGCAAATATCTCACCCCATGCATATAGCACAATTTATCTTTGTGGATGTCTTTAACAGACTGCCAGCCAAAATCCAAAAAGTGGTCCACAGGACCTCCTATTTCTCCATATCCCTTTTCTGAGTCAACTCCCAAGCTGTTTCTGTGCTAAGAAAGGCAATGAATATTGAGTGATAGATGTGGGTTGTGTAGTAAAGAGTAAATGTACTTACTTATGGTGAGTGGCAGAGAAAACAGAAGTTTGCGAGAATGACAACAAGAAAAGCAAAGGCAGATTTCAGCTTGAAACTGCCCATGAGAACTTGAACAAGGTACTTCAACTTATATGACAGTCAAAAATATTCTGATGGAGTGGTCTACTGCAAAGTTTTGGAGCTGTCAGAACGAGCACACAGAGATTAATCATAATCAATTCTGTCTAGATATTGTGCTCTTAGATATTGTTGTTCTCTGTAAGTGACCAATACTATTTCATCACTGCACTATCAGTCGTAACTCTAAAAAGATTATAGAATTGGGGCACCAACTGGACCCAAATTGGCACTACTGTTCATATAAGCTGCAGAAGTGCTCAGGGGAATGCTACAGTCCAAGATATGGTAACTACATGTGGTGGGATTGCATGATCATTAAGCTTGCTTCTATGTGTTTGAGATGTGGATTGCTACTTCCACATCCCAAACATCCATTAAACTTTGCTAGGCTAACTGCTTCACAGCTGTTCAAGTGAAAAGCGGTTGAATTAAGCAAACTTACATCCATACAATAAGCATCTACTGTATACCATGAGAATATTACCTTACATATATTTCAATTACTCTAGATATCCTTTTGATGAACCATATTTCATCCTTTGTGCAATCCTAAGCCAGGACCATCCCCATGGAATATAGGTGGATAATTTATGGCAATATCCAGTACAGTCCATGATATTTGCTTAACCATACCCCCTCCCACACCATCACCTCAAAAAGTTATCAATAGCAAAAAAAAAATGCTTTATTTGGGGTACAACCCATCATTTCCTAGCAATAAGTCAGGGTGGTTCACATTATGGGAAAGTGTGCAATCTCCATAACAGCACTACTGTTTGTTTGTTTTAATAACAGCTGGCATCCCTCTGGTCACTCTGCAGTACATTAGATCCATTCAGTCTTTTGCTGAGTCAATCTGCAGATGCATCTAATGGATTCAATGTGTCTACACTAGTTAAGGCTAACAGGATTTTGGCTATTATTTTCATAACACCAGCACTACGTCCAGAAAAGGTACCTCACTTAGACAGGCCAACATTAGGCTGGCCTTCAGGTAATCAGTAATTATTAATTTAATCTACACATAGTAGCTGCTGCAAGGATTAAAAAAGAGCAGTTGAGGGGAAAATGAGAATCTGGAAGGTCTGGCTAAAGATATAATAAATAAAATAAACACATGCGTGGAAAGATTATTCCTGGTTTTAGATTACTGTTTGTTGCAAAAATGTGCAATGATATCTATATCTATATATTTTATAGAGTATGCTAATATCTTCTATAAATACTTGAACTGTGTGCCTTTAAATTACATGTCAATTTAAAACAACCCCATAGAATTTCATAGGGTTTTCTTAAGCAAGGAGTATTCAGAGGTTGTTTGTTTTCGTATGAACTTAGTCTTGGGAACAATTATAACATTCTGCTGCATACACTCCACTCTTTTACACTGTGAACTGCTACACTGAACCAACAAAGGTTGCACTATAGGAAGGTGGCAAGGATTTACAAATATATTACACTGCTGTTACAAATGAGCAACTTGATCCACAGGAATCAGTCAAGGGGACAGAGGAGATTCTTGCACTACAGATGCTGTTACGTCACGGACTGACCTGGTTTGCCCCTTGGGAGCTGGAATAAACACACAACATTGAGTGAGCATGAAGGAAGGAGAAAAGAAGGTTTCTTTTCCATAGCAGTCATCCAAATGAAATCACTCGTGCTTATTGCACAGTCTCCTCCTAAGAAAAAGCTACGCCTCAGGCAGGTAGAGCACTTAGCCAGCATATAGCCCAAGCAGAAAGAGGGGAGAAGAGGCTGGTGTGAGTTTGCAAAAAGTCAAAAGGAAGTATTTGCAAGGAAGAGTACTGTTCTATTCAACAAAAGTTGTTTACAGGCAGAATGCTATCAAGCAAGGTTCTTTTTCCAAGCTGCAGTTGCTGCAGATTGGTGCTTCCAGCATGCGCCCCCTCACAGCCTGGCTTCTCCCACAGTGGCATTTTGCATAAGTGTTACCAAGGAAACTCTGAGATCATGGATTTGGCACCACAGTTTCACTAAAGGGACAAGGGGGAGAGAACTTGGATTAACAGAAAAGGGAAGTCTATTTGAACAGAAATTGATTTTGCTCAGTTGCACACACTATAAACAGTATGTTAAGAGATCAAGTAGGCCAAGTTATGGCATCTGTGCATCTCTCTTCAAATAAAGACCTTCCCTATTAATCTTGCTGCTCCCCTCAGATTTTAGTACAAAAGGTCCTTACTGGAAGAGAAGGGCTTTGCATTTTTTATAATGTCATTGAAGAAAGCAAAGGAGGAAAATGCTAATGGGCAGTGGCACAGACACTACTCAGAAAATGTAATCAAATACCTATAAAACACACACACAATCATCTTGTAATTCCACAGACTACAACAATTTAGTTTGGTTAGAATTAAAATACAGAAAGGGTGTATTTTGATCTAAGAGGAAAGTGAGACATACAACAAATACAGCATTTCTGAGACATAACTTCTGCTTAAATAAGACTAGATTTTCAACCTACACATTTTCAATGACATAAGATATGCCGTTATTAAATATTTTGCCAGCATGAAAGACACAAAGCTGTTTTTGTTTCTGATGGGTGGGGAAACCTGTGTCTCAAAGAGATAAAAATAGCTTCAAGAAGCATTCCTCTCACAAGAAGAAGTTGTGCAAATAAGCTACTTCCCTTGGCAAATATTTTGGAGCAAATTTTGACCAGTTAGTTCATGACAAGACTTCCTCAGTTTTGCTAAAAGCAGCATTGAGAAAGTTGTTATGAGGGAGGACATATGGTGCAAGATTTTCTTAAAACTTTGGAAGAAAGGGAGACATGCAACTGAGAAGAATTAAGCAATCAGTACCATTCCCAAGAAAAGACAAGCAAGAGAAAGAGAGAATGTCAGATGACAGATAGCTCTATGTCAAAAACAAACAACCTGCACATATCTTACCTGCCATAGGGACAAGGAGAAGTGATGCAAGATAAACATATGGCAATAAAAATTGATTGTGCAGATATAGCACTCTGGGTGTGATGTCTTGGGTGTGGGTGAGGAAACCAACACATAGATTAACGTAGATCATGTGTCAAATGTGAGTAGCTCACCTCCCAGAGGTGTAGCAAGGGCAATTCAGAGAGAAACTATTGCCTATGCTCAGTCTGCACATTTTAAGCAAACAAGAAATATTAATTATGTTAATTTTTAAAAGTCACACTGCCACTTAAATAGTATGAGTCTCTTGTCTAGAGAATGGCATATATCACTTAAAACAATAATTCTTCTCTGGGCAATGAGAAGTATTGTTCTTTTAATCTGAACAATATCCACAGATTTTGTTCTGTGGATACAAGAACAAAATCTGAACAATATCCACAGATTTAACACCCACAATTTCACTTACCCATGCTCCTAAAAATATTCCCTCTCTGAAGTGTTTGTGGGCCTCTCTAGGTCCTCCAGTATGTTTCTATGGTATGTCTCCATCCCAAATACAGTTAGAAGATAGAGTTTGCTATATCTATGTTTCAGGTACACATGTGGGGATGGGTAGATCATGGACCATATCCCACTGAGATACAGGAGTTGTACTTTATTGTTCATGTTCAAATTGGGTGGCAAATAATTTTTCTGATACATATATATGTAGACTCTAGAGGTGAAGCAATACTTTAAATTCAGTTGTGAGAAAGATCAACGAACCAAAGGACAGTATAGAAAAAAAGACATTTAATAACTGACTTGATGTAAAATGTTAGCATGAGTACCCTTTAAATGTAGTCAGCAACCCCAAACTTTCTTTGAAAAAGCTCACTTCATTATAAAGCAGTCTTGCCTGACATAAGAAGGACCAAAAACCAAACACAATATGCTACTGAAATAATTGGAAACTGGACCTTTAATTTTTTTTTTTGTAAAACACCACCAGGAAGCCACAATACTGAACAGTGGATTCCAAATTTTATACATGGACAGGTAAACTACGTTTTTTATGCTCTTTCATTGGTTATGCCAATAATGTACATTTAAAATGAATCAGTTTTTTAAAAAATGAGATGAGGAAAAGACTAGTCAATGAGGATTCTTACTTTCAGAGTCACTGATTCCACTGTAGTCACTGACGCTGGCGCTGCTTCGTCGCTTCATCCGCTCCAGGTGCTCTTCATACTGGAAGTGATGTTTCTTTAGGGGAGATGAGAAATCCTCTATCACAGCATCGAACTCGCCAAGCACCTCAGCCAGATCTCCAAAATCCTCAAAAACCTCTGCGGCAGATGAAAAAAGTCAGTAGCTCTTCCACAGCCTGATCCACCATCAATATATATATGGATTTTGTATCCAAAGATTCGACCATCTATAACTTGAAAATATTCAAAAGGAAATATATGAAATAGATAAAGGAAATCATTTTATGATGCCATTTTATATCATGGGATTTTATATAAAATGGTATCTAGAGGGGGAGTCCTGGAACCAAATGACAGCTGACACCAAGGGCCCACTGCATTGGGTATGGGTCCTGTAAACTGAAAGTCCCAATTATTATTATTATTATTATTATTATTATTATTATTATTATTATTATTATTATATATCAGTCAACCTCTGGCCTTCCTCTCTTTCCAGTAATCATTACAGCATAGGTCCAGAAGGAAGTAAAATTCCCTAAAATTATTTTTTTAATTACATAAATATTCTTCAAGATTTTTCTCAAAGTCTTTCCATATTGTTCTTGTTTGCTTGTGTTGAACTGTAAGACCATCTTGAATATTGTAATGTTTATTTTCTTATCTGTTTTACATTGTTTTAATTTAATTTAAAAATATTTACCCTGTAATTCTATGAAATTTGGGAAAGTTTTACCTTAAGAAGCAGTGTAAAAACGCTTAAAATATTTGGTCATAAATATTTAATAGAGAGAAACAAATGCATACACACCCGCATTACCATTTAAATCCAGAAACAGACAGATACATTTGAGGCATTTATTTGTAAACTTACACAGAGTTTATAGCCAGCTCTGTGTGTGGCAAATTGGACTGTTTCCTTTTGGCTCTCTTTACTTTTGCCAGAAGCCCAACATGAACAAATGAAGATTTTTCTCATTGTTTTTAATGCTAATTCTAAATGTTTATTTTGAAATATTGAACTGGTTATTTGGATTCTTTCCAACATATGTCCATGTCTTGTTTGGGAAAGTAACAGGTTTGGTTCATTTTGTGGATTATTTGTGCGGCCTGAGAGTGTGTCCCACTCTTAATGGCACTCAGCAACATTTGTTGTGATAGACTTTTGAGACTCATGGCTATTATGCTACTCTGAGGGATGATTTTGTGGTCCTGTCAGTCCTATCTGATTGAAAATTTCTAAAAAGTGGCATGGCTAATTGTTTCCTAACCCATTTATTCCCTTTGCTCTTTGATATCTGCATGAAGTCTCCTAATAGGTCCTATAGGAATTTGGGCATCGAGTTATATCATTATTCCAATGACACTCTGCTCTGCTCTCTTTCTCCGATAAAGTCAGAGCCTGCAGAAACATGATTGGATTGGGTGGAAACATTAATGAAATGGATATGGATTAACTCCTGTTAAAACAGCTGTGATCTGTGACCAGGAGCACAGCCTGTTCTAGAAAGGGATGAATTCTCACGGAAGGACCGTGAAAGTTCTTTAATTAAAGCTGCCTACTCCTCAAGGTTTTGTTGTTCTCTTTTCAACTTTTGCTTATTTACATTACAGTGATTATTCTGCACAATTTCCTCAAGCTGTATGACTAAACATATGGTGCCCTATCCATAAGTTATTATTTATTTATTAAAACATGTCAGTGATTATAAAGATGCAGATAACAGTTTTCCATGGCTTTTTTATTTCATTCACAAAAATGAAAATTCATTCATTCAGCAAATGAATGGTCACATTTACATACACAAATGATGGAAAGCTTGGACACTCTGAGATTCTCTGATTTTTTATATAAATCAAAAGACTATACTTCTAAAAAGCATAGGGCAAAAAGCAATCCAAGAGAATTTAAATAAGTGTTTTCTAAATTGGAAAACTAATCTCAAACTGACAAAAATGAACTTGCCAGAACTACCTTAAGGACAGAATCACAGTGTAATAGAATTTGAAGAGATCACATTGGTCATGTAGTCCAACCCCTGCCATACAGGAAAAGGACAATCAAAGTACCCCTGACAGATGGCCACCCAGCCTCTGTTTAAAAGCCTTCAAGGAAGGAGCTTCCACCAGGAAGAGAGTTCCACTACTGAACAGCCTGTATGCTCAGGAAGTTCTGCCTAATGTTCCTGTAATTTGAACCCATTGTTCCAAGTCCTAGTTTCCAAGACAGCAGAAAACAAGCCTGCTTTCTCTTCCTTATGACAGCCTTTCACTTATTTATATGTGCTATCATGTCTCCTATCAATGTTCTCTCCTGCAGGCTAAACATCTCCAGCTCTTTAAGATGGTCCTCATAAGGCATGTTCTTCAGGCCTTTGATTATTTTAGTTGCCCTCCCCTGGACACCTTCCAGCTTGTCAATATCTCTCTTGAATTGTGGTGCCCAGAATTGGACACAGTATTCCAGGCGAGGTCCAACCAAGCCAGTATAAAGGGACACCATGACTTTCCTCTATCCAGACATTATACTCCTTTTGATGCAGGCCAAAATCCTACAGGTTTTTAGCTGCTGCATCACACTGTTGGTTCATGTTCAACTTCTTGTCCACTAGGTCTCCAAGAGCTTTCTCACATGGATTGTTATCAAGCCAGGCAGTACCCAATCTGTATCTTTACATTTCATTTTTCCCTGCCTAAGTGTGGGAGCTTACATTTCTCCTTGTTGAAATTCATTTGTTAATTTTTATCCAGCTCTCTAAATCTGTTAAAGTCATTTTGAATTCTGACCCTGTCCTCTGGAATATTAGCTATCCCTCATAATTTTGTGTCATGCAAACTTGATAAGCATGCTCTCTAAACCTTCATTCAACTAATTAATAAAGATATTGAACAGTACTGGGCCCCGAACCACACCCTGCAGCACTCGACTAGTCATTATTTCCAGGATGAAGTGGAACTATTGGTAAGCACCCTTTGGATTTGGTCGCTTAACCAATTACAGATGCACTTAATAGTACAATTGCCTAGCCCACATTTGACTAGTTTGTTTGCAATAAAGTCATAGGGGACGACCTTGTCAAAGGCCTTACTGAAATAAATATCTGATACATACATAGCATTCCTTGCATCTACCAAGCTTATAAGATTAGCAAACAGTTATAATGACTTTCAGTAGCAAAGTGAAAAAGAGACCTTGACAACAAGCATCTTCCTGTGGCAGACACTGACATCTCAAAAAGGAAGAGAAATCTGAAATCGGCTTGAGTTAGGGAAAGACAAACACTCGTGTCAGTTCCATATATTTCATCAATCTAAAGAATAAGGAACTGACAAAATCACCTTTGAGTACTCCTTGTCTAAGGAAACCCCATGAAATCCATGAGGTCACCATAAATCAACAGTAGACTTGAAGATAAATGCATACAGACACTGGGACTAAGTATTGGATTTAATCCATCCTCTACAGCTGTACAATGATGTGGGATGGACTTTGCTGCAGGTCTACTTTTATATATATTCTAAAAGACAAAAGCTCACAAAGGAGATTAAAATTCCCCAGTGGAGTGCATGAGTATTAAACCAGCTTTCCATGTCTTGAGAACTTTTTTGTAGACCGATATTAAACTAAACAGGAAGGCAGGGAGGATGAAAGCTGTGCAATGTTAAATGGCACAAAGCATAGCACCACATAATATTTGCAGAAGAAACCTTTTGAGGATTAGACCACAAGATTATGGGGATTAACTACAGGATGTATTACCATAAGGTGCATCCTGGGGAGGGGGCAGTCTACGTATCTGATTCATGTGTACATCCCAACCATGTCACTATCCATATGTCTGAAAACAGATACAATTATAGACCTGAAGGAACACCCAGCCTTCAACTACTGTATCCTGTATGTAAATTTGCCTTATGGGGATAAACCTTTAAGTCATCTGTCAATGAGACTTCCTGAATTTCATAGGGTTTTCTTAGATAAGGAATACTTAGAGATAGTTTTATCAATTTCTTCTTAGGAAATATAATCTACAGCATCTGATATTTGTTAGGCAGTTTCCCACCCAAGGACTCACCAGGGCCAACCCTACTTTACTTCCAAGATAAGACAGGATCTATTACATAGCACTAAAACTATTTTCTTTGCCAAGGTACTTGGAAAATAACTAACTGCTAATCTAGCACAAGCTTCTGAAATAGCCCAGTTAAGAAAGCTGAACAAAACAAAGGCATGAGAGGTTCTACTGTGAAGAGTGTGCCTATAACAGCAGAGACCTAAATGCCCAAGAATTCACATTGCAGATGCATTACAATAAAGACAAATCTCCCCTTTTAACTTTGGGGGGCAGGGAGGGGGACTCAATCCTTGAGACATACTAAATGACCTCACAATTTTAAAAAGAAAGTGATTTAGCAAATTAATACCAGCTGGACAGAAGGAAGGTTCATTGCAGCTATAAAGGCAGTGAGAAGTTTCCCTAACAGCATTCCAGCCAGACACCAGAGAAACACAGTTTATCTGAATTTGAGACCTACAGATATGGTTGGCAATTTTGAACTATGGGGATTTGGTCACTTCCATTTGAAGGAACAACTACCTATAACTGAGAAAGAAGGGAATTGAACACCTTTCTTGTGTTGGTGTCCTGACTTGAGCATAGAATATAAAGAGAGACCTGCCCTCATACATACACAGTCTGTCTCAAAAGTAACAAAAATTATTTTTAGTGCAGTGCAGATGGGCCAGGAAAGGACGGTGTTTTTTGAGGAAGGTGGAGGGAAAACCCAGGCATATTGTCTGGCCTTTTTCTGTTGAACCCTTGCCTTTGTAACAGTCAGGACAATAGCAAAAAAGTGCAGAAATTTTAGAGTCTAATCATGGGTGAAAGTGGAATCCTCGGTGACACAATGGGTTAAACCAGGGGTCCTCAAACTTTTTAAACAGAGGGCCAGGTCACAGACCCGCATACTTTTGGAGGGCTGGAATATAATTTGAAAAAAGCATGAATGAATTATTATGCACACTGCACATATTTGATTTGTAGTGCAAAAACACTTAATACAATACAATAATTAAAATGAAGAAGAATTTTAACAAATATAAACTTACTAGTATTATTAGTATCAATGAGAAGTGT